AAGAAAGAGACATGGAAACTGAAGTGGTTCTCGAAAGAGAGTTTATCCGAGTTTGTGGCATTAGTGAAGGCAATCCATCCAGGGATCACTTTATGTCCTTTGCATGTAAGATTCGAATCATAAGAGGTTTTAGTTTTCTGGTTTTGCATCTCTTGTTCCATATTCATTTCATTTTCTCTTGTGGTTTTCTTTTTCCTACTTTTAAAAGCATGGGATTTTGTTTGCTTGGTTATGGTGTGTGCAGAGTTCGTAAGTGTGTCGGTATTCTTTGATTTGTATTCTTTTAGAAGGTTAAATTTTCACATGTACAGATAGCAAGTATACAGAATAGCAAGCAAGTCAGATGTAGGATATGTTAAGACTTCAGTGATCGTAAAAATTTCTGCAGGTTTTCATAAAAAAAATAGATCTATCGTTGATATTATGTTAGAATTGACCGTCCAGCTCAGTTGGTAGAGCACAAGGCTCTTAACATTGTAGTCGTGGAATCGAGTCTCACGGAAAGCAATTCATAATTCGTAAATCTCCCACGGAAGCTGCTCTCAACCTGACGCTTACCTCTCCTTACCTCATTACGTATGAGAATAAGGTCAGCTAATTTTTGTTTGTTGATATTATGTTAATAAAAAAATAACGTTGATATCACTCATCTGCACATTATTTCTATTTGCCCCTTTCTTTTTTGTTTATATAATCTAATATTTGGCTCTCAAACGAGGATTGGAGGCTTGAGGTTCTGTTTATTCTCAAGGAGGATTCGAGTATTTAGGTTGATCAGTTGGTTTGAGATCAATGGCGAGGGTTATCGGTATCCCCAGTGGAAAGGGTTATTCATCGTGGATGCAAAGTTAAGAAAAAGGAGAAGAAGAAGAACAACTCTCAAGATCTGACCCGATCTCCGAATTTGAGGTAAAAAAGCCCTTCAAGCAACTTGTACTTTAGTATCACCCAAACATTTGCAGAGGAAGCAATTGCATAACTTAGTTTTAAACAATCAATGAAGCTTATAATATATATGGTTGTCCTTTGTTCCCATATGTAATGGGTTAAGGGGAGGTAAGATAGTAAGCTGCCCCAAACATTAGGTTGAGAGCAATTTCCGTAGGAGACCTCCAAATTATGAAATGCCTTCCATGGGACTCGATCCCACGACCTCAAGGTTAAGAACCTTGTACTCTACCAACTGAGCTGGATGGTCATTTAATGAAGCTTATAATATAGTTATGAGTAAATTGAGAGGAGAAACAATGGTGACAAAAATCTTAGAGGGAGAAATATAAGGCGATGAGGGGAAGGTAGGAACCAGATTTGATTTGTTGAAAGAATGAATGGGATGGGAAGGAGTCGGGGATTTGAAATTTGGGGTTTGATAAAATTCAAGAATTTTGTTTTTTTTTATTTTAAATTAATTATATATGGCATGTTTTATTATTAAAATAAGTCATGTCATAACTTTGTTAATGGAAAAAGGTCGAGTGATAAAAAAAATCAATGTCTAATATTTAAAGATCAGTGAGTAAATTGAAAAAAAATTAAAAGTATGTTAAGTGAAATAGGAAAAAAGAGTAAAGTTCAATAAAAAAGCGAGTAATTTATCCTTAAAAATCATATTTGATATTATATTTTTGGTCATATGTAATTAAAAAGTTAATGGTGAGTTTCCATGTCAGTATAAGATAATGCTATGTAATCACTAAAAGGAATAAAAAGATTATCATATTAATAATTTTTTTATTGTGAGTGATCAAAATAAAATCAAAACGCAACGTTAAATATAATTAAAAAATTGAGTGACCAAAATAAAACTACAAGAATAAGTGAATGACTAAATGTGCAATTTACCTTAATAATAATAATTTCTTAATCGTGGCTTTTTTATATACGGCTGGCTGGCTGTCCCTTGTTCCCATATGTAATGGGATAAGGGGAGGTAAGATAATAGGTTGTCCCCAACATCAGATTGAGAGCAGCTTCCGTAGAAGACCTCCGAATAAAATTATTTCGCTAACGAATAAAAAAATGCCTTTTACTAGTCAACAGAAAACAAAGGTCCAATAGAATATATACCACAAGTTAAATTTGCTTTTTATTGTTGAGTGGAGCGAATTAATCTCCGGGCGCATGTCGGTCGTATGGCGGCTCTGAAGGTTGATGCAAGGCTGAAATCACTGCTGATGCCGGTTTATCAGAAGCTTCTCATAAAACAGATCATTTCTGGTGTCTTATGATCAAGAAACTTCGAACATGATCAACCTTTATGATTCAATTTCTAGCCGCCTCTCGATGATGAAAAGAAAAACAAATAATGTTTTATTTCATCTTCTGCCACTGATTTGTGTTTCTAATCAAAAGTTCAAAATAACTGAACTCTTTACGTTAAGATTCGATCTTTCACTTTCTACGAAGGAGGTCGCAATTTGCAAACTGGTCAAAAGAGAGAATATTATGAAGCAATGGTTCAATGCGGTTGATTTAAAGGCTTAATGTTAAGATTATTTGCTTGAAGAAAATAGGTCTAATTCTATATTCAGTCCCTTTCCTCTCCATATGTTTGAAATTCAGCCCTTTTACTTTTAATCTTAGGAATTAAAGTAATGGGACTAAATTTCAAATATGAAAATATTTGCCAAATATACCAATACCATTCTCTCCTGTATCTCCCGTATTCATTTTAACAAAATCAAGTAATCAATGAAGAAACCATATAGAATCGAGATTATAGATTATTACACATAGGGCGATGCAGGCGGAGTTCTACAACATTATCCTAAATCCAACATGATAATGTCAATGGAACAACGTACAACTGAATGAAATGAGTCATTTCGGCTTAGAGCGACAAATCAGAATCTTCATCCTCGTCGAGGGAAGAAGTGTAAACAAAATAAAGTGCCGAAAACACCAAACAGAATCCACCCGAGAAGGTTGTTGCTCAAACCGAATGGAAGTCCGGTCCCTTAGGTCGACAGTTTCTCGTCCACCAAAGCCAATGCCAGGGGACTCGACACGGCTGCTGCTGCTGCCGCCAGCAACGATGCACTCATGCCCATGGTCGTCGACACATTCCCCTCCACCGAACCCTTCTTCTCCATGGAACACATCACCTTTCCCTTCCTTGCAATTGTGGGCAACCCTGGATGCAAAATTTTGCAGTTGAGATCATAACTGAAAATGCAAATTATGTTTTTATATGTATATGTATATATATACATACCAGTGGCAAGTGGGGCGGCAAGCCTTGTTGATGTTTTGAGGGCAGGGGCGATTGATGAGGTGAGGGTGGTAGCAGATATGGTTGCCATATTCCTACAATTGGGTGAAAGACTGCAGATTTTGCTACACTTGGGGCACTTCTATTTCATTGACACAGACGGTTCACAGATTAATACCGTGACTGATTAGTAGCCCTTCCTTTGATATCCCCTATCCACATAGATCCAATCAGTTTCTTCCAAGTGTCACACCATCCTCCTACAGACAAAGATCGGTCCAAAGGGATTTTTTTAATCAAAACTGTCATAATGGAACAATGGTAACATTAACTTATACAATCTTAAAATTACAGTAATAATTATGGCATCTTTATATATGAAACTATTGTTTGATATGTTAATTGGTTTTAATTCTGCAAGCGATATTAATCTATGACAATATTATCTTTACATATTCGTACAATATGACGGCCTCGTTAAGATTTAAAATTATTCATTTGTGTTGTACTTCTGCCGCAAATTACATCTCCACTCTCATTCTTTCGCTCAAAAATCTCGAAGCTTCTGGAATTTTCCTTAAGATTTCACATACTTTACACCAACGTAATCTCCTTTAGTGCCTACAATCTCTCGGGCTCGGATACGATTATTTTAATTCTATTATCAACTAAATTTATTATTTGACAGTTTGAATATATATATCAACTTATCGATAGCTATTAATCCTATGATTAATATTAATCTCAGTGACAGATTCACAATTACAGATGTCTATCTTAAAATTTAAATTTTCTTTGATTAATTGTATATTCTACTTATTAGGGTTCAAATCCTAGTACTCTCATTTTCGGCCACCCGTAATACCCGGTACTAAAATTTTGACCCGTTCCTCGACATGTTAACTCCGGGTACCAGTATTTTTAGTTCACGCGTGCTCGATTTATATATATATTTTTAAAATTATATTATTTTAAGAAAAATAAAATAAAAAACTAAAATTTAAATGTCTTATAAAATTAAAAACTAAAATTACATAATTAAAAATTAAAATTTATTAAAATAAAATTAAAGAAATATAATTAAACTTAAAACATTTTAAAGTTAAAAGAAATAATTTAGATTGTTAAGGTGAAATAATTTTAGAATTTTGAATAAAAAATTAATATAAAATAAAAATAAAAATAAAAATATAAGAAAACGGGTATCCGGTTAATCATTACCCACAAAAATTAATAGGTCAGGTACTTAGCCCAAAAATCCGAATATTTTCACTAATAATACCCGATAATTTTAGACTGGATCGACATGTCAACAAATCGGGCAATTCGATCGGATATTTTTTAACACCCCTACTACTTACTAATGGTGCTAATCTTGAAACGTTATTTGTTCCCACCCCATTCAAAGAAAACTTTGTTATTAACATATACGTATCTACCATGAAAAATATTTTTGAATTCATTTGAACCACCCTACTGCCTGATGTCATGGACATATGTACTCGCACAAGTTTTGGGCATATATACTTGCACAAGTAAAACTAAGAAAGGAGAGCTCCAACCTCGCATTCATTTTTCATAGTCTTCTCTAATCTTTTTCTCTTTTTTCTTAGATCAAACATCGACTACGACTCCATCTAAATCAAAATGAATGAACCGTCAAAAATCACCATAATCCCAATTGTTCCATCAACAATTTGTTGTTGAAGAGTATAATTATATGAAAAGAGAAAAATGTAGCAATGTGAACCAAAAAGAAGAGAAGAAACATAATTTTTCGATCTGTTAATAAAATAATGAATTCCTCTAAAAGATGCATCACAAGATACAAGAACAAGTGCCGCCACACAACCGGTATCCTATAGCTGAAAATGGTGAATCAACATATCAAGTAGTCCAATAGTACAAGTTACATAGTTCTTCCTACATTTCAAGAATCTATGCTTCAATACAAGTGGAAATTGTGATCAGTTACAAATGAATACTTGCAAGACAGCCAGAATCCCTGCAGAAACTTGTTTGCTTCGGTTATTGCCCATAAATTAACTTGATCCCAAAGAAGATTATAGCCGGAACATACGGGGAAACATGAACTGAAAAATTATACGAAAGATTGTTAAAGAATCAGATTGATACTAGAAGTTCCTGAGAGACCGTAGTTTTGGTATGAATCGAAGAATTCCGCTTGTAAGTGGCGAGCTTCAATTACTCACGGATATTGCACTGTTGTAAGTAAGGGTGGTCATACAGCAAATGTTTGCTCCAATAGCCTTTGTATTTAGCTATTCCAATTTCCAACCAGGGTTTCATGAATCCATCATAGTGTATAACTGCTGCATTCTCGATATCACCCTGAGCAATACCCGAATTATAACCTAGCCCAAGTGTATGCCATCTTTTTTCTAAAGCAACAGTCTGGTTGTAGAAGGTAATCCAACCTATAGGCAAGCCTCCAGCCTTCCACAATCGACTCTTAAGTCCCTGTCACAAGACAAGATACGAACAAGCCTGAGAAATGTGCAGCATGGAATAGGTTGTATGCCTACTATGATAACCATAGTTAATCCTTTAAACATGCAAAAGAATTCACAATGAAATTGGTGATAGCTTTTGAATTAGAATTTTTACAGATTCCTTGCACTAGAGCAAGGCAACATCAAAATGGAAAACATGCAATCAGGTCAATTAAAAAATTTACTGTGGACATCTTTGGAGACAAATTTATTTCCAGAACTTTGAATTTACAAAAAAGGAGAAAAAAAGGATAAAGGAACCGTTAGATCATTTAACATACATCATGCAAATCACTTCAAATAGAAATTACTAACTATTATGAATATACCTAACTGCTGATATGGATTTTAGGGTTGAAGAAGTTCTGGTAGAGATTTTTGATTGCATATATCATTCGATGATCACACTAATACAAAGCTGCTGATGTATATTTTAATCAAATTCATGATTTTATCAACAGACCAAAAATGCAAACACAAACGTGCTGCTTTTGAGTGAAAGAGGAACCCCCCCCTGCGGTTAATAATGGATAAGGGGTAAGAAAGATTATCCTATATTGAAATTTTAGACGGATCAAAGGAAATTTCAAGCGCTCTCAGTTGACAAACATAACCTAAAGCACCCGATAATGTTTACCATATTTTCGAGGAACAAATGTGCAGCTTCAGAGAACTATAGAATCAATATAAAATTCACAAGCATATAATATTAGCATGAAGAACACAAATACAAATAGAAATACAACAGAAGTATAAGCCCATACCAGTTGCAAGTAATCTCGGTAGAGCATGGTTAATTTTTTTCTTCTCCATGCATGAAGATCAAGCAAATTCATACCAAATGCCCATGAGCAAACATTGCCATTAAACTTCGCCGAAAATGGGTCTGAAAAGTTCACAAACATGTGCATTGCACCAAATGAGGCTTCACTTTCTACACAAGTCTCCACTGCTGCATTTACTTTCCCTTTCATGTCAACATTCCAAATTTCAGTTAAATCTCTTTGCACAACTACATCATGATCAAAGAGTACAATCTTATTCAGTGCTGGAAAGATATCAGGCAGATAGAACCGTAGGTTAAAAGCAGACGAATATCTTGGATCATAGGACTTTTGTTCCTTCAATGTTGAATTATACTTGGAGTACAACCAATCAAAATTTTCTATGCTCTGAACATGAATTGTAGCTTTGCCAGGAGGATTTAACAAAAACCACATCGAAATTGCTGGGTGGTTGAGAGAATCGGTCACCACATGAAAAACAATTTTCCCAGGCTCCTGCATAACCGAAATAAGTTATCAGGGACACCACATCCACTGAGGTAAAATTAGTGGCTGAATCCTGAGGTGATTGCAAATAACTCATCAAAATGAATGGGAGAAACAACAGAAGAGTATTATCTTTTTGAAGGGGAAATTTATCTAAGGCAGGATAGGGATAAACTTATATGGTAAAGATGCTAAGGTAAATGAACACCATTGCAACTTCGGAAAGCTTAGGTCACAAAAATCCAAGCCATTATTATTCATTATAATAACTGTATCAATTAGTATCAAGCATTGCAAACTACAGAATCAATGCAAGAATTAACACAATTTTTATGTGAATGTAATAACAAACACTTTCGATGAGCAAAACCATGTTAACATTATAACATAAGAGAGATTCAAAGTTAATGAAAATAATAACACAACAATAAAGAAGGTAAGTGGACAAAGGCAGTTTACCTTCGCAGATGAAATTGTGGAATTAACAACAACTGAACAAGCCAGAACATTGTCTGAGAATACTGCATAGTGATAAAGGTCTGGATCATTCAAGTTTTGTTGGTTAGAGAATTGCCTTTCCTCAGGTTGAAGCAAAAAATATTCAGCTGTGAGCCGCATGGAGAGACAGTGAAGGCCTTTAGGCTTAGTCCTTCCGGCAAGTTGAAGAAGGTATGACTCTTGATTCTTCAGTACTTGAACCTGTTCTTCAGCATTATAAGCCATGGCCTGAAGTTTTGTAGTCATTGCAGAGCAGTCAGGGTATACCTGACTTGCTTTGGCCAAAGTAATCTCCATTGATCTCATTTTCTGAGAAGCACTGAAAATTTAGCTGTTTTTCAGTTATACAATTTAAGCAATTCAACCCAAATCAAAGCTAATACTAGTCAAAAATTCAAGTAGATTATTGAGTACAAAAAGCTTTGGTAAAATATTATTAAAAGAATTGTCTGTTTCCTTACCTCCTTGGCAAATCTGAATCCCTGCTGGCTTCACTAACTACTCGTTCCAACTCTCTGATTCGAGCTCGCAACGCTTTCATCAAGCGAGAGGTACTACCTGGTGGTGCAAAATTTAAGTATGCTTTTGCTGCAATAAGATGATCTCTCATCTGCTTTACCTTTTCATCCACAACCCTGAATGGTTGGGACTGCAAATGCTGATCATCTCTACCTATTTCTTGATTGAACTGCTCCTGCAACAAATGAGTTAGTGTCAACCATATGCTACGAAAAGCAATAAACTAACTTGACTCCTATTGCTCTGACCATTCTGGAAAACAGCTAAGCCGTACTCCATAACTGCAACCATCTATAATCTAAACTTACATTCAAATATTCAACATCTCATGAAACATCAGATTCATACACACCTTTTCACTTGAGTTCATCTGTATTATAGTCTGCTGAATTTGATGATCCTCTTTTCCTTTCTCATTAGTTTCTGATTTAGAAAGTATAGCAACTCAGAGTCAAATTCAACTTGGTAAACTATAATTCTAGGATAAAAGACACTACATGCACCCAAGTAATGCTAACCATTTGCTTCTAATAATTCATAACCATCTTGTGCATTCCCAAATTGATCTGAATCACCATATTCATAAGAACTGTGTCTAAGTACAGAAATAAAATCCTTGTCTTTGAAAACATCTAGTTCTGGACCTTTTAATCCTTCAGCAGCTTCCTATGTAAGAAAGCAACAAACATCGATAAACTGCCAGAATTGATTAGTGCTAAAATGTTTAAGCAAAATAAATGAAATCCAGAATATTAAAGCTACCTGTTCAATGGAATTGAGTCTTAAAACATCTGTCATATGCTTCTGAATCAAACAAAGCAAAACCCATTAGAAATTTAGCCTCAAAAAACAAAAAAACAACACATTCAAGGAAGAGAGATTCATACAATACTAGGCGAATCCTCCATGAACTCCTTCTGGCCTGCCGTTACAGAATCACAAAAGATCAGTCAACATCAGAAATTTTCAAAAATAAAAGAAGAAATCAAATCACGAAAGGACAAAACTATATATATAAGAGCAATAGTTTCTTTTTCAATGAAGTACTTCGATCAGTGAATACATCTTAGGCTAAAAATTATACAATTCTTTCTTTAACATAAAATACGAAAAGTGCTAAGTAATACTCATTGGCTTTGTTGTCTGATCAACAACTATATTAACGGTAAAATTGTTCGAATTCTCATTACAAACAATTTAGCTTGACGGATTTGAAAAACTTTACCAATGGAAGTAAAGACTTTGAATCTCCAAGAGACGAACACGATTGGAGCGCATACAGAGAAAAAGAGCAATGAGAGGATCAGAAGCCTCTGCCATCCACGATGTTTCTTCATCAAATACGAGATTTGCTTATTGAGGTTCCTTGTGATCACTTAATCGTTCTCCAGAAAAACAGAATACATAGATTCAAATAGGCAACGATTCGATGCTTTGGTAACAAGAAAGAGGAGTTAAAGAAGAAACAAAAGTAGGGTTTTGGGGAGTTCCCCGCTCTTTCAAAGGGATAACATTAGTTTTCGAGCTTCTTCCACAGTTTTTTGGGTGTCGGCCGTTAATTAAGGTGAAAAAGAAATAGTCTAATCCTTCGATCTCATGATTGATGTTGAGGATGATATTTTTACTAGCTATTTGACTCGTGTCGGCGGGAAAATCTCTCACTGTCCGAGTCCAACACTCGTGCTTAGCTGCTTAACAATTAACCTTTAGATGAGGAAGCTCAATTTAATGTTCGTAAAAGAAAAATCAAAAGATTCACAAATAAAAATAATATTGTCATCGATTAATGTTAATTCTTTGGTGTTATCAAAATCTTAATTTAATTTTACCTGTTTAACATTTAGGTTATATATACAAAAAAAATATTAACTTTTTGTGTCAAAATGTTCAATATACATGATTTATGCAATTAATAATATCTTAAAAGTATCCGGAAAATTACAATATTGTAATGATTTAAGTATCTTCGATAATATTTATCTATTATCTTCTGATAAAATGTTTTTACCTTACAATAAGGTTCTTCAATGTAGAGTTTCTCATGAAATTGTCATCAATCATCATTTGAATGCTTAAAATTATTTAATTTTATTTGAAATTTGATAAAAAAAATACATTAATAGTAAAAGATTTGTTTATTATTGTATTTTAAATAGAAAGATAAATCCATCATCTATTACATTACATTTTTTATTTTTTATATTTTGCTTTCGATTGTTATCTAATTTAGATATGTTACTTTTTATCGGATATATTGTGTCTTGACTGTTGATGTTTACAATCAGAGACTTAGAAATTCTTATATATATATATGATTTTTTGTAAAGATTGTGGGGTTGTGATGACAAGATTGATGAGAAATCGAAATTTAGGTGGCGTTTGGTTCGCTGGAATGTTTCTGAGGGAATTGGAATCTGTGAAGGAATTGAAATCTGTCAGGAATTGGAATGTGAATCTGAAACATGTTTGGTTGGCTAGAAATTGAATTGGAATTCAATTCTATATTATGTTTGGTTCGCAAACATGTCAGATGAATTTGATTTCAGTAATGTAAAATGACAGAATTATCTTTCTTGTTTTTTTGCTTTATTTTAGTTTGTTTTATAACTGACATGTAGCAATATATTATAAAAAATTTAAAAAATATTAACTTTTCATTTTATTGATTGATTATTCATTTCAATAAATTATAAAAATCGTGCTAATAAACATCATAAGTTAAAATTATTGTAATTAGGGATGGCCATGGGTCGGGTTGGGTCAGGTTTTTGGTCCACCCGACCGAGAACAAGGGAACCTCCACCCGAGACCCGACCCTACCAAAATAAAGTTTCACCAACCCGACCCGAATATATGAATTAGAAACCCGACCCGACATGAAATAATAAAAAAGTATTTTTATTCAATAAAAATAGTGACTTATAAAACCCTAAAACTGACCCGAACCATAAACCCTAAACCAACTCAAATATCACACTTAAAAAAACCCGACCCAAATACCAAAAATTGATGAGGTAGTATGATCAAATTTCACATTCCCTCCTCCAAAGGATTTCAATTCCATCATGTTATCGATGAAATTTACTTTTCTTCATTTGATGGAATTGGATTCCAATTCTCCATTTGAAACTTGAACCAAATATGGGAAAGTGGTGAAATTGGATTCCAATTCCCCCTAATTCCAAGGGATTCCAGCGAACCAAATGTCACCTTAAGGTTTGGGGTGGTCTGTAGTGTCAGATCCAGAAATATATTTTAAGTGGGTATATATGTTAATAATATTTTTTTTAAATAGATGATACAAATAAAATTTTAGGATGACATCGTCCGAAAAATAATAATTAATTTAAAAAAAATAATTTCAAGTGTGTATAAAAAAATTTAAAATAAACATCATTAAAATGAGTAATTAATCGAAGTGATCAAAGTGTGGCTCCGCCATATGTGGTTTGTAAGGGTTTCGAGATTGGAATAATGGAAGCGAGATCGGTAATGGTTTGAAGTGATTGGTGAGGGTTTGGGAGTGAGATGACGTGAGGTGGTCTATGAGGTTTTGGGATGATCAGTAGGGTTTAGGTGGTTAGTTGGAATTAGGGTTTGGCTTTTAGGGTTAAAACTTGACTTTAGATTAGGATTTAGTTATTTTAATTTTATTTTTTAAAATTTTAAATCCTACATAATATTGTCGTTAATTTTATTCGCTAATTGACATGTTTCACATTTTGGTAATTTTGATTTTTAAAATAAAAAAAATTAAAATTTTATTATATTTATAAAAAAACCTAATTTTTTCATTACAATAAAAAATCTAAATCCCTAAAAATCCTAAATCCCTTACCCCTAACTTATCGCCATCGACCTTTTCGCCCACAACCACCACTGTCAACATAGTCCCTTCTGTCTTCCTAATCATATGTTGTCATACTTACCCCCGATTGACCGTCGGGATTGCGTGTGGACGCGATTTTCAACCTAAGGTCTACGGGGTAAAAAACGTCGATTGGCTATAATTTCATGGGTTATCGATTAAATTTTTAAAATTACCGACACATGTCACTTAACGAATAAAATTAATGGTATATATGGACCAGATACCTAAAGTGATAATGTTTACAACGTTAGACACCTAAATCATTCAAAAAATAATTTAAATACTTATTCGTGAAAGTTTTTATAGTTTATGCATCTATTTTATTATTAAGTCTTCCATTAAATACCGAAAGAGAGCTACAGTTACATGTTCAAATGGGTATCGACACACTATTATGTTCTCTCGTTTTTGCATGACTCTTATGGGAACCAAAATTATAATAATGAAAAGATGCTTTAATTAATTTAGGAAGTCATAGTCATCCTCACGGGAGCACTATGTTGGTCAACTCTCACATCAATAAGAATTTCTGGTATGTATATTGTCATGCTTAATTTGTGGTCGGATGATAAACTTTGTAAATTTATTGTGAATATGATTTTTTAAAAAATCGTTTATTTGATTCGAGGTTTGATATGTATTTAACTGCGATGGTTCAAGTATGATTTTACTAAAAATAAATTAGATTGAATCAATTAATATGATTAGTTTATATGCATTGAATTTGACCCGAATCGAAAATAACTCGATCTAAAAATAATCTAAAACTGAAAGTAATTCGAATTGAAAATAATTCAATATTTAATTTGTTCAAATTCGATCCGAACTGAACATTGACATGGTTTTAACCCAACAAATGAGTAAAAGTAAATTAATAATTAATTTTTTATTATATATTTTTAATGTAATAAATAGTAAAATATTATACTTTCTATTCTCTTTATTATTACACTAATAGTTAATAACCACATTTGGTAATAGCTTAATATTATTTTATTACTAGTTAACCATCATTTTTGTATTTTTTCTTCTAATTTTATTGGACTCATACACAACTTAATTCAAATAGACCTGAAGATCCAAATATTGATATGAACTAAAAATTAATTGATTTGATATTGATTCGATTAAAAAGTCAATCGATTCAATATTGACTCGATTTGAAAAGATATTGATCTACTATTGCTTCAAACTAAAAATTAATCAATTTGATATTGATATGACCTAAAGATTAATTTATTTGATATTGATCTGACTCGATATCTAATTTAATCTGATTTACCATAAACCCAAATTAAATCTGAATTAAATCTAATATGACTTGAATCAAATTAAATATAATTCAGACTAGAAATAATCTGATTCAAAACGACTCAATTCAAACTATACGGTTGTCACCTTTAATGGTCCACATGGTTAATAGAGAGGGTAGTTCTTCCTTTGGTGATTACTTAAATTGTATTTGGTTGAAGAAAATGATATCAAATATGTTGCATATATATAATAGTTGCTAGGTAGCAAAGTCTGACAACGGTTAACACAACCATTTAAGACATCGTAAATGTCTTGTCATTTTTTTGGGTGGGTGATGATACATGCTCATCATGTGGTACGCCACTTTAAAAATGTTGTATAAGAAGTCCACCGTTAATTTTATACAGTGATAAATTTATAAATATTTTTTTAGAATAAAAATATGAGTTAGTAACATAAAATTTGTAAATGGATGAACACAAATAAAATTAATAAAATTTTAAGATAGATACTATTAATAAAATAAAAAATTAATAAAAAAATTTAAATTTCAAGATGTATACGTATCACGAACTATATGTGTATCTGCCACCATCTTTGCATGTTAGTGTTATCGGAAGGAAAGTGAGGAGCATGCTACCCATCATCAACTATCATTTGCTGTTATAGCTGCTGTTGCCTTTTTTTTTTCTCGTAAAAGAAATGTAATGTTTTTCTTTTCCACTATTAGTTGGGTAGTTTTACTGTACGATACTCTAATATAAAGTTAAGAAAATGTATTATCATAAATGTTAATATTTTTTAAAGATTTTTTATAGAGCGCTATCTAAAATATTATTTTTATACTAAAAATATTAATTTCGCTACCTAAAATAAATATTTCTGTAAAAAAATAATATTTTAAGTAACACCCAATATTAATATTTTCGATAAAAAAATAACATTTTAGATTGTACTTTACTAAAAATATTAAAACAATATTAATATTTTTGATAATACTTTTATTTAACCTTATATTATGATGTCTTTCCTTAGACAAATGATGATTAAATAATCTGTTTAGTACTAAAACAAGCATTTTTTACTAACAACATTTCTGGAATTTCGTTTTTCCCCAGGTAGCTTTGCCTCGTACCGTTCCCATTATGTGCCAAGTTGACTGCCCACGCCCATCGGGAAGTTCTACAAGTTTTACAATGTTACAACCTTAATATATAATTAAAAAATTGTTATTAATTTATTATTATTTAAATAATAAAATTGATAAAAATTACCTAAAATACTATTATTTATACCTAAAAATTAATGTTTTTTAATATTTTCGATAAAGTACCCAACAATAACAAAACTGATAGAAAAAATAATAAAATCGGTAGAAATAACAAAATCAATAGCACATTTTTTTAACTGTATATTAAGACTGCCGCACGTGATCATTTCCCACACACATGCCATTGCACGCCTACCCACCATCCTTTTTTTCCTTCCTTGTTTCTTACTAATTGACAATAATAATCATTTTGGCATAGGTTTCATTTTCTTCAATGCTTTATGTCTCATTTTCCTTTAAAGATTCAGTTAGAGGGAAAACAAACACTTCTAACTTCATACAACTTCTAACTTCATACAATCTATGGATAACTCCTCAATATTTTAGTTACTCCAATACATAATGTCTTATAAAATATATTACATTGAAAGTTTTATAACTTACAATGACTATTGTTGATTGGTAATCTCACTCATAGATTCATAATAGGTCAAGAAAAATATTTACCAAGAATTTTTTAAATATTAACCTCCTTACTAATCAACTTTGAAAGAGTTTGTTCGATTGATTTTAAGTAAAAGCAACATCGTAAACATCACTTGGTGAATTTTATAAAATGTAATTACTCGTAGTGATCTTCAAGCATCTCATTAGTCATGGTCATATGCAATCTGCATATAACATTTTATATATTAGATTGAGAAAAAACAGCAATGCTTCAAATCTCTAATCATCTATTTATATTTATATCAAGCAAAAAAACCATTTCCGTTTTCTTTTAATTGTATATCTTCATCGTAGGGATTTTGTCACACATTTGACAACAAAGTATCCAAACTCATAAGTTTTTTAACATAATGTGATAGCATATACTATTTCCTTACTTTATGACTTTAATATCAATATATCAGAAATATCAGTGACTTTGATGTAATTTACCCAAGTGTAAATTTACATACAAGAAAAAACTAGATTCATCTTTCTGTCGACGACGTCTTCCTAAAGTCTTATATTTTCTCTTTCTATTTGTTTTGTTGTTAGATTCAGATCATCGTTTGGCTTGTTCTCACCGTCCCTTCTCCTCTTTCCTCCACTTCAAAAATCACGCATTCCCTCTTTCTCTTCCCGTTTATCTCTCTCCCCTTCTTTCTCAGATCAGAAAACATTCCCCATCTTGCTTATTCATCCATATCTCTCGCCGTTCCCGTTTACCATCGACCTCTCTGTTTCTAATCCCCTTTTCTCATCAGTGTTTCCGTCATGGGTTTTAATGCCGGTTTTTATGAAGATATGCACGTAAAGTTCCCTTTGCCTTTTGCTTCTCGTTGACGTGCAGTGATACGAAGAGGGGTTTTATTGAGATTGAAAGTGAGAGAAGGAGAAGCCGAAGGGAAAAGGAAAGCAAAAGGAAGATGGCGATTCGGGTCGTGAAAGTGAGGAGAGAAGCGATTGCGGCATGCATGACTTGTCCTCTTTGCAATAAGCTTCTCAGAGACGCCACCACCATATCTGAATGCCTTCATACGTGTGAGTCTCAACCTCCCCTTTTGATATTTCTCTTTCCTTTCCTCGTTTCCCTTTCAAGTTTCGTTCATTTTTGCGTCATTTTTCTTAATTTTTCAAAAATTTCACTTTTGCCCCTCTTGATCTGGCTTGCTCTTCTTTTCCCCGTTTTCGTATCTGTTCCCCCCCCCCCAAATGCGTACGGATAAATTATAAAAACCAGAGGGGAACAGTCATATTGCTTTTGTTTATTTATAATGCCTACTTTTGGAAATACTGTTGATTTGATTATGAGCTTGTTTGTTTATAATCTGCTGCTCCTAATTTTTGTTTTCCACGGCTTCTTACTGTCATATACTTCACATTTAGAGTCTTCTCCAAAGATTAGAACTTTCCTTCTTTACTTTTCAAGTGCATAACAGGGTTCAAACTTTAAAATGATTTTTCAATTTTGAAATATAATGGAACCAAACTCTTTTCCTAGCTATGTAAGAGTTTAAATTGCTTCACTTCCTAAGCTTGTTTTCAGTTAAAATCTTTTCTACAATTGGTGCATGTGATATTTATTTCAGTGCCTTGTGACTCTGTTGAATTAATAAAATAGAAATTTACGATAGATTTCTCTTTTCGTTTTATATAGTTTGCAGAAAGTGCATCTATGGTAAGATAGAAGATGAAGAACTAGAGTGTTGTCCGATATGCAACATCGATTTGGGTTGCGTTCCTCTAGAGAAATTAAGGTATCGTTCGTTTACATATTGTTCTGTGTTTTTTACTTTCTTCATGACACACAATTAGCCATTCTAGTTTTAGTCTTGTCGACGCTCCAAAAGATATCTACTTGAGCACTTGTTTCAAGTGGTCACCGGCAATGTTCACTGATTTCTTCTGTATTCGTTAGGATCATCAATATTCATGAATTAAGAATCATATTTAAAGGCATGGAATGAAAAGCCTGAAGTGGAAAATGTAGAAATTGCAATGAATCTCATTAGAGTTCATTGTTTACAAGTTTTCAAAGAAGATAGAAAAATATGAATATCTTTACTAGCAGCCAATATTTCTTGGACTCTCATCCATCTCCCGATGTTTATTTGTTTCCCCTTATCTAAGTGATATGAATATATGTAACTTAGCCAATTTCAAGTGAAATATTTAAACACAAATTATCTCTGTTATGCAAACCTAAGAACTCATTGCTTTAATGGAATTGTGCGAGTTCAGGTGCAAAACCATGGGAAAATATGTTGAATTGGAAAAAATTGCACATATCTTTTGGTTTTCCTGAATAATCATTTTGTATCTTTCTTTGTTGAGTATCGACACATGCTTTATGTTGGTCAATCAAAATCCGGGATAAATAAATGTTTATTGGAATTGGAAACAGTTGCACACATATTTTAGTTTTCCTGAATAATCATTTTGCATCTTTCTTTGTTGAATATCCACACATGCTTTATGTTCAAACAAAATTTGGGATAAATAAATGTGTATTGAGATTCATCTGTGCTTCTGGAAATCAGACCAGACCATAATTTGCAAGATGTGAGGTCCAAAATCTTTCCTCTTAAAAGAAGAAAAGTGAAGGCACCTGAAGTTCTATCCCCTGTTACAATGCCTACTAGAAGAAAAGAGAGATCACTCTCTTCTTTGGTGGTTAATGCCCCCAAAGTATCAACAGAAACTACCATGACTGGAAGGAGGACAAAATCTGTTGCCAGAAAGGCCAGTGCTTTGCGAGGTTCCAGTTTTTCGGTGGATAGGCTTCTTAAAAGAGAGGAAGACTCTCTGGAGGATCACCAGGAGAGTTCAAGCTCACCTGAAACACTAAATAAATTCACGCAAAATAAAAGACAGGTAAATTGAGCGAAAGTATATTTATAATTTAATTGGTTTCTTCTCTCACAGTACCAAATATTGTTTAATAATGCTCCTTTTCCAAACACCCATTTACTTGAACATAATTTATGTATTGATTCAACTAACGATATCTGCTGTTTTTATAAAACTGAAAAACAGTGTACTTCTTCTGCTGAACCTACCCAACACATAAATAAAGATGCCGAGAATGGTGATGAATCGTGGGATGGGAAATTGGATCTCTGGAAACCTTTGAATTGTTTGGTGGAGGTTGCAAATAGGACCAAGGCCTTCAAGTCTAATTCACAAGGTTCTGATTCTAAATTAGAACCTAACCATGTTGCTATCGCTGAAGCTCAAATAGGCAAAAGAAAAAATAAGGAAGATAAATGCAAATCAAAAGTGGAGGATGAAAAGAATATTGCTGGTCCTGTAGTGCCAGAATCTGTAACTCCTAAAAGGTTACGAAGGATCCGTCGGAAGAGGGCTTCTGGATTTGGGGATTATGGAATTTCTCTGCAAGCTGTGCTAAATGCAGCTGGTCCAAAGCATGAAAGAAGAATTGGTCCTGTTTGGCTCTCTTTAGTGGCTTCCGAAGACCAGTAAGAATTTATTTTAGCCTTCAAACTCAAATTGATGGAAAACAGAGTTATCTTAAGATTTTTTTCTCTTGGTCATAAACTTATTAAAATTTCAATGCTTTCAGGGAAGGAGGTGTATCCCTACCTCAGTTTCCTGCAAATTACCTAAGGATAAAGTAAGTTCTTTTAGCAAATTCCTTCTGGAGTCCTGCAATATCATGCTCTATATGTTCTTCCGTTTGTCTGAATATTGTTAATTTGATCTGTTGCTTGTTAGCACTGTGATTCTTACCAGTCAATTATCAACATTTTTGGTACCATAATATCATAGTATTTGGCTTGGCATATGGAAAAGGGAACATACATGTGGGTTGTTACCAACTCTAGACTGGTAAAGGGATTTGATAAATATCATATGCTGGAGTCTATAAGGTAATAGGTAACTTGGAGTTGTTACCTAAGGACAAAGCTACTGAACTCATGGACAATTATAGGCTTTGCTGGTTGACTTACAATTATTCGTGTGTTCTTTAGTTTACAGCTTGGATTTATCTAAAGGACCTGATATGTTGACTGTGACCAAATATTTATAGCAACTGATGCTCATAAACATTGGTCATGATGTAAAAAGGATAGCCATTCGTTTTAACTAGAGTATAGCTAGAGATAAAGCACTGGCGAGATCAACAACCATTATTAGAAGTCAAGTGTAACCTGCTTAGACAGCATTTTGTTAGCCATCTTCTGTAATGTTAATATTAATCAACATGTTCAAGAAAGAATTTGGGCGGGGTGTGGATGTTATAAAATGATCAGGTATGAGCTTAAGAAAAAAATGCAAAATGTTTATAAAAGCACGGTTAGACAAGTAATAGTTGGATTTTTTTTTTTAGATTGTTATATATGAATAAGGTCCCTCCAGTCACTTCCTATCGTTAATCCAGCTTCTATCCACCGATTACAACACAACCCCCTCTTTTTTTTAAGATATCTTTAAAGGTTGTGTTTCTTTGACTTGGTGAAATCGTTTTTTGACAATAGTTATTTACTCTCATTATCTACTTTAACGGCAAATCATCTGGGCATGCCTTCCAGACATTTTCCCCTAGATCTTAGCTTTAATTATCAGGTACATAATGGTGAAGTTAGCGTCGTGCAGATCATGTAATTAAAAGGTGCACTTTGATCCTGATATTTATTTACTTTTAAGTTCCTTATACTGTAAGGAGTGAGGACTTATCATTGACGGACTTCACATTAGATTCCATATTGGAATCCTAAACCAATAATGACAAAACTGCAAGCTGAGTACATCTTTTACATCATGCTTGAGTACTACTCGATATAAATTTGAGAACTGGAAGAAAAGAGTGACATGATGAACAGTTATGTCCCAAATGACCTGTGAATTGTAATTTGTAAGGTGAATAAAAAAGGTAATACTGATACATATGCAATTTTGTTTCTTTTGCCAATTTACTTTGTTATTTTTACCATTTTTATTTAAGTACCGTGGACTGTGGTCTTCTGTCACCAGCTATAGCTAAATCCCAAATATCCATTTGTTTCAACTAAAGGTGCTTACTCCTGCCTGTTTTTGTTCTCTTTTTTGTTCAATCTATGGCACAGAAAATTCACATTTTACATCAACTAAATAGATTAATGACCATATGTCACTTAATTTTTAACTGACTTATAGTTATCTATCGGTGTCTCTTTAGATATGGGTCAATCCAGGGATGAAGCCAGAAATCTTATATTGGGGGACCAGGATTGAATTATACAATTTTGAGGGGCAAAAATGAAATTTTACCATTTATTATTAGCTTACAACTTTCTAAATTTTGAAGGGACTAAAATACAATTTTAACATTTTAGGGGTAACCGTTTTGGTTAAACTGTTATTTTCATTAAAGTTTTGGTACAAAAACTGAGAAGTTCAACTTTTTTGACTTTTGAAATGATAGAATGGTTCATATTTGTTCCTTTGTGGCAGGGATGGAAATATGCCTGTGTCTTTTATTCAAAAATACCTCACGAAGAAATTGGACCTCACCAATGAAGCTGAGGTGAGTTGATCTCTTTTTGAACGTTCTCTGATGATACACTAAGCAGAAATTTGGTCAAAATGATTTCTACCTTTCTCTTTGGTTTTTTAATGCCTACATATTTCAAAGAGGCTCTTTGCACAATGTGATGGGCTGCTTTGTTTTTAGGCGTGTTGTACAAGTTGGTACCTGACAACTTTTCTCAACTTGGTACCTGAAATTGTCAAATTTTCTCAAATTGGTATCTGTTTTGACTTGGCATCTCAACACCCAATCAAGCTGCTGACATGGCGTTGACAGGTCAAAATGATGATGTCATTAAGCACCACGAGTTACAACTTGATTGGTTGTTGAAATATCACATCAACACCATGTAGCATTTTGACAAAATATTCCAAGTTTAAGTACCAATATGAGAATTCTTTTCAAGTTCTGGTACCAACTTGAGACCAAAAGAAAAAGTTCATTTCCCAATTTGTATAATAAGCCTTATTTTTATGCTTGGAAATATGGTTAGAAAACAATAGTCGATAGGTATTCTTCAGTTTTCTAAGAACATATTAATGGGATACCCCCAATTATGAATGGCAAACACCTCTACCCACATAAACAAATTTCTTCATTATTTTAACCTCAAGAATTACTTTGGTCGTTTGTTGTTTGAGGTTATAGTGGTTTATGAGAAACTACAATAATTTGAAGTTTAGAACTGCGAGTCTCAAGTCTCCAACCAAACGTGAGAAGAAAGTAGCATACTTGTTTTGGCAGGTTGAGATTAAATGCATGGGACAACCTGTACTTCCCACACTGCAGTTGTATAATTTAGTCGACCTGTGGCAACAAACAGCATCGACATCACAGCGGGTTGCAGCATCCGTTGGGTCCAGTGCAAAGGATTTTGTGATGGTATTGGCATATGCTCGGAAAGTCCCAGCTCAATGATAATTCATTCTTTCGCCCACCACATCAATCTTAAAGCATATATTATCCTTATTAAAACCTTAACCGGCAATAGAGTAGGACATTTTGATACATGACATGTAATTCTATGGAAGTCGTACGTTGAGTGAGTTGTTTTTTAGTATTCCATGAAAGGTATACGGTGAGTGAGTTGTTCTTTATACAGTTGTTTATTTTTCACTCTGCTTACAAGCATAGAGCTCTGTTTGCGGGCAAGCAATGGAGTAAACTACCCTAACCGTATTGACATGATTTTCTAGGCCATAGATTTCTATTTTTACGTCTACAGCTTCAATTGGCGTCATTAACCCAATAGGCTACATAAATATCCAAAACAAAACTGCACTCTATCAACCAATATAGCAAATATTCATCAGAAAAACCAGCTTATACATGGTAAAATTCCAAAACCGAGCGATTACCACTCCCACTCTAACCCAAGCGGTTTTGACAAACGTTGCACCTGGTGAATGGAAATGCTCTACTTCTTCAATCTCTTTCGGTTTTACTCCAGTAAGCTTTTCTTATTTTCCTATCAATATAATGTTGTTGCTCCATTATTCGTTTGTTTAGCGACATAAGTCAGCTCTACTTTTTAAGTACATGTCCCCACTAGTAGATTAGCAAAAAGAAAATACATTCTCCCAATGCACTGCTTTTTGGTAAAAGAAAATCAACGAAGATGCTGGGAGAAGATTCGGATTCACAGAGCTAGATATTGTAGAAGAACAACCTGGTGCTAGAGCTGTGTTTGGTGATGAAAGAAGAGGCAGGGGCAGTGAACTCTTTGGATGAGAGAGCAGGTTTAATTTGGAGTCGGGAGGTGTCGAAGAAGATGAGGCAGTAGAAAGTAAGTGCGAGAGATTTGGGGATGTTAGGAGTTTAAGAAATGCAACGACATGAGTGGTGGATGGAATATAGATGAGTTTGTTTTAGATGGGTACAATATTTAAAATATTAAGGATTGTTGTATTAAAATGTAAATGTAAGTATTGAAAATTAACTGAAATGTAACTTTCCATCTAAAAATTAACCGTTAGTAATAACTTTCAGTAACTCAAATGAACATCTAATAATTTTTCATAGTCAAGAGAGCTAAAAAAAAAATACTCCAATAGCCTTTTAGTAATTTTTCATAATCAAGAGAACTAAAAATCACCTTATAGTGAAAGGACTATCCAGGAATTTACCCTTTTTTGATATTACATTGGATTAGTACAACATAAGCATGCTTTCACATGTTATATATGATTAATCAAAGGAAAAAAATATTAATTTAAATGTAATTAGCATACGGTAAAATAATTTTTCATTACCAATCTTCAATGGCTCAAGCCTTGACATCATCCTAGTTTCAAGGCACATTTTCAGCACGTAGAGATCAGTACGTGCCAATGCACGTCTGCTAAGAACAATACATATATCCTATGATCAAAACGAACATTTTGAGCTCAATCTAAATTCAGCTTCCCTCCCACTCAAGCATTCATGTCGCATTAACCTAAAACAGAAGTAACAAAATTACCTTTATACCATTCGTATGATTAACTCCGTTCCCCAGATTTGTTTAAGTATTGTACTACAAAAACATATAGCAGTCAAATTCCAAACCCACGGGGAACCAGTATCAAGAGTACTTAAGTTTAATTGGAGCCATAGTAAAATGTTTATCATCTTCATCCGTGCTTGCGTTTGGCTTCAATAGCATCCCTGTAAACAGAAACAACTATATAGATATAAAGAGCCGAATAAAATTAAAGGTACAAATATAAATAAAAACAATAACAAGAAATTGAAGTTTATGATCAAAGGAACTAGGGTACATTATGCATTTAGCAATTAAACTATCAGTTTTGATCCGTTTTAATACATGAACTTTCAATTTTTTTCAACACCATACCTAAAATTTAATTTTTGTTTTAATTTAGTTGTCTTATTCAAAATTTAACATCAATTTTTTTTTAAAAGTTTAGGTACTAAAACGGATTAAAACTGATTGAGAAATAAAGAATTTGAGATCAAAGAAAAGAGGGAGATTGAAGAACAGAAAAAGATTGAAGAAGAAGGTATGTTTTCATTCATAAAATGCATAATCTATGTATTACAACCGTTGGCCTATATATATTCTTATGTAAAGGACTAACTAAACCTATTATTTTCATACAGCTGTCCATTTTGTCTGTTTCTAAAATAAACTTCTCAACTAGATACGTAGGACCCACTGGTAATAATAACTATTTCCCCAGCCTGTTGCGCCAGCCCGCATATCATTGTTAGATATCAATGCGTTGCCATTTCCATCTCCAGGTATAATTAGGGTCGGCATGAGATCCGAACCCGATGCGTTCTAATTGTTGCGGAAGACGGTTATTGAATAGAGTAAAATCGTAATTAATAATTTGAGAAAATAAAAATGAAGATAAAAGAAACACAAAATTTACGTAAAAAACCCCTAAATAATATAGGGTAAAAATCACGGGCAACGGTAGAAGAATTTCACTATGAGAAAAATATAAATTACAACCTCTCTCGATTTACCAAGGAGAAAACAATGATAATTCTCTCTTGATAAAAAGGAGAAAACAATTCTCAAGAAACTCTCTAAATTCTCTCTAGTATTGGAAGAAAGCTAGAATGCTTTGGGATGGTTTTGAAACTAAATGAGCTAGAGTATTTATAATTGAAGCTTTAAGGACTAATTTGTAAATACCCTAAATTATAATGACTAATTGCATAGTTTTACCATCCAAAATTTTCAACAATTTGGTGGCCAAATTTGACCAATTTTGCCGCCCCATTAATGCCACCAAATTGCCACCCATAATATTAACTAATTATGCAATTTGGTGTGCCAATTTTCAACAATCTCCCACTTGAAGATTTGATTGGAACAATCATATCTTCACACCATTCTTTCTACCTTGTACATTTCATGTTGCTTACGTCTCTGACAGGCCACAGGAGGATCGACACCAGGTAAATTTATCAGCGTTGATCGCCTTCGTCATAAAATCTGCTATGTTGTATTTGGTATGGATCTTTTGCATATCTACTGTCCCTTCTTCCACATTTTCACGAATGAAATGGTACTGAACTCATATGTGCTTTGTCCTTAAATGAAATGCTGGATTCCTTGCTAGATGCAAGGCGCTTTGACTGTCACAAAACAGAGAGACATACTCTTGATTGTGCCCAAGCTCCTCCAATAACATATTCAACCATATTGCTTCTTTACTGACTTGTGTAGCTGCTACATATTCTGCTTCTGTTGTGGATGTAGCCACAACTGACTGCAATTTTGAAACCCAACTTACAGCTCCACCATCAACTTTAAACACATATCCTGTAGTAGATTTGCTTTTATCCAAGTCCCCTGCATAGTCAGAATCTACATACCCATTGATTAGTAAGTTTCATCCTCCGTAATATAATGCAACATTTGAGGTCCCTTTGATGTATCTCAGGATCCTCTTTACTATATTCCAATGCTCTTTTCCTGGATTCGCCATGTACCGACTAACCACTCCCACTGCTTGTGCAATGTCTGGTCTTGTGCATATCATAGCGAACATTAAACTTCCCACTGCCGATGCATACGGTACTCGAGACATCTCCATCCTCTCTTCTTCACTGCTAGGACTCATACTGGAGGATAATTTGAAGTTAATAGGAAGATGGATAGAAATTGGCTTACAATCTTGCATGCTGAATCGTGACAAGATTTTCTTCAAGTAATTCTTTTGTGAAAGCCAAATCTTCCTATTACTTCTGTCTTGGTGAATTTGCATCTCTAGAATCTTGTTTGCTGATCCCAAGTCCTTCATTTCAAATTCCCTAGCCAATTGTGCCTTAAATTCTTCAATATGATCTTTTTTGGGTCCTGCAACCAATATATCATCCACATACAACAGCAAAATAACAAAATCGTTATCACCAGACCTCTTGAAATAAGCACAAGGGTCTGCATTAAGTCTGTTGTATCCAAGGCACATAATGAAAGAATCAAATCTCTTATACCAACACCTCGGCGCCTGCTTTAGACCGTACAGAGATTTGTTCAACCTGCAAACCAAGTTCTTCTTTTCTTTTTCTTCAAAACCTTCAGGCTGGAGCATATAAATTTCTTCTTCAAGATTTCCATGAAGAAAAGCTGTTTTAACATCTAGCCGCTCTAGATGTAAGTCCAATGTAGAACACATTGCCAAAACTACTCGAACTGTTGTTAGTCGAACCACAGGAGAAAATATTTCATTGAAATCAATACATTCTTTTTGAGCATATCCTTTGACCACCAGTCTTGCACGATACCTCTCAACTTGATCGTCACCATTTTCGCTTGATTTTGAAGACCTATTTGTTACCAATTGGCTTCCTTCCTTGTGGTAGTGGCACAAGGTCTCATGTATTATTTTTATGAAGGGCTTCAATTTCTTCTTGCATCGCCATCATCCACAGTGAAGCATCTGAGTTGTTTATTGCCTCCTGGTATGTTGATGGCTCACCGTCCTCTGTTAAAAGGTAATATGCAATATTACCTTCTATAACATAATCTGAGTGCCAATTGGGACATCTTCTCACATGATCTGATTGACGAGTTGTTGGAGCTTCAGAATTCTCTAGTTCTTGTTCATCATGTGCTAGTTCTGCTTTAGAAAAATCTCCTTGTTCAAACTCTTTTTCCACATGTATCTGAGTAGTCTCTGACTTTTCAGCGCTATCATCTTCTTCTTTTCTTTGTAGATTATCTTCTACAAAGATAACATCTCTACTGATGATCACTTTGCGGGCAGTGGGATCCCACAAGCGATACCCCTTTACTCCATCAACATACCCCAAGAATTTGCATTTCCTGGATTTTGGATCCAACTTTGAAATTTCTTAGGAGTTGTACATCACGTACACTATACTTCCAAATACATGGAGGTTTGAATAATCAGCTGGTTTTCCAGTCCACATCTCCATTGGTGTCTTCAACTCTATTGCAGTTAATGGAGCTCGATTTACCAAATAACAGGCGATATTGACTGCTTCTGTCCACAATGATTTTTCTAGGTTTGCATCCTCAACATTGCTCTTGTTCTTTCTAACAAGGTTCTGTTCATCTGCTCTGCCACTCCATTTTGTTGAGGAGTGTTCGCCACTGTGAACTGTCTTTTGATGCATTCTTTCCTGCAAAAGTCATCAAATTCTTCGCTTGTGTATTCTCCTCCATTATTTGTTCTGAAACACTTGATCTTATTTCT